TGACGTCCAGTCTCTTTTTTTTTTTCTGAATTACCCTTTTTCTAAAAAAAACTGAGACAGGGTCTTACTGTGTTGCTCAGGTGGGAATGCAGCTATGCTATTATGGCTTACTGTAACCTCAAACTCCTGGGCACAAGATATCCTCCTGCTTCAGCCTCCTGAATAGCTGGAACTACAGGCATGTGCCGCCATGCCTGGATAAGATTTTTGTATTTTTTTGAGACAGAGTCTTGCTCTGTTGCCCAGGCTTGAGTGCAGTGGCACAATCACGGCTCGCTGTAGCCTCCCAAGTAACTGGGACTACAGGCATGGGGCGCCACACTTGGCTAATTTTTTTGTATTTTTTGTAGAGATAAGGTCTTGCTATGTTGCCGAGGCCAGTCACAAACTTCTGGCTTCAAGATTCTGGGATTACAAGCATAAGCTGCTGCAGCTGGCCTCCTTTTTAACCTTGGAATAGTTAGATTTGCAGGAATATTTCAAAGATAATGTACAATACCTGGGTGTGGTAGCACACAACTGTAGTTCTAGCTACTTGGGAAGTTGAGGTGGGAGGATTGCTTAAGCTGGGGAGGTCGAGGCTGTAGTGAGCTGTGATCGTGCCACTGCACTCCAGCCTGGGTAACAGGACAAGACCCTGTTCTCAAAAAACAAAACCCAACACAAGTCCCATAACCACAGTTCCTGCATACCTTCACCTGGTTTCCCTAATGTTATCATCTTAATTTACTATGAAACATTTGTCAAAAAGGGATCCTTGGAGGCCATCCTGAAGGCTGACTGCCTCAGTGACTTAAACCTAATTGGTACAATTGCAAAGGTCAGAAGCAACCCACATGTGCATTGGCAGTGGATAGGCAGGAGCACGGCGCAACTGTGAACGGGAAGGAGGAAGCTCTTTCCCCACTGATGATCTCCCAGATCCTTGGTTAAGTAAAAAGCGCCTCGGGCAGAGCCACAGATGTGACATGAGAATGTTTTGTAATGAGAGGAAAACACAGAACCTAAGTTTGTTTTTGCAGCTGGATGTAGTGGCTCACACCTGTAACCCCAGCACTTTCGGAGGCCAAGGCAGGAGGATCTCTTGAGCCCAGGAGTTTGAGACCAGCCAGGGCAACATAGCAAGTCCACGTTTCTATAAAAAATTTAAAAATCACCAGACATGGTGATGGATGCCTGTAGTACCAGCTCCCCTGGAGGCTGAAGTGGGAGGACGGCATGAGTGCAAGAAGTCAAGGCTTGGGCCGGGCGCGGTGGCTCAAGCCTGTAATCCCAGCACTTTGGGAGGCCGAGGCAGGTGGATCACGAGGTCAAGAGATCGAGACCATCCTGGTCAACATGGTGAAACCCCATCTCTACNTGAGCCAAAAGAAGTCAAGGCTGTGGTGAGCTAGGATTATGCCACAGCACCCCAGCCTAGGTGATGTAGCGGGACCCTGTCTCAAAAAAAATTGCATTTGCATAGACGATCCCTGGAAAGACCCACAAGGAGCTCATAACACTGATTTCTTGGGGAGAGAGGTGGAATCTGTATATGGAAAAAAACACGGTTGAAAGACAAGAGCTGACAATTTCCCTGTGGTTTGGGAAGAGAAAGGCAGACGGCAGCCCAAAGCCCCTGGGGAGCCCGTGGGCTGGACTCGGGCTGGTGGCGCACAATCTCGTTCTGCAAAACATCATCGTCTGTCACATGCGGTTTGTGTGGTGGTCTGAGCGCTCGCTCTTGTCGTTTGCTTTGTGTTTAATTTGTGGCCACGTGGTGGAATGGTCAAGAACATAGGACCTAGCAGCCCGACTGTGTGTGTCCAAATCACAGCTCTGACATTTCCCAGCTGAGTGACTACAGGAAAATGACTCACTTCTCCAAGGCTTAGTTTCCTCTTCTGTAAAATGGGGACGAACATAGTCTCTACCTGACAGGTGACTGTGAGGATTTGGTGAGTTTATTCATGTCAGATGCCCAGAGCAAAGGCTCAATCAATATAAGCTAGTGTGATTATTAAGCGCATGCGTATGTAGAGAACAGAACAATTGTAGTAATCTATGGTACCCCTGGGACTCTCAGAGTTCTACCCCTGTCACTTTATTTTCTTTGAGACAGAGTCTCACTCTGGAGCCCAGGTTGGAGTACAGTGGCGCCATCTCAGCTCACTGCAACCTCTACCTCCCTGGTTCAAGTGGTTTTCCTGCCTCAGCCTCCTGAGTAGCTGAGATTACAGGAACATGCCACCACGCCCAACTAATTTTGTATTTGTATGTATGTATGTATGTGTTTAGAGACAGAATCTCCCTCTGTCACCCAGGCTGGAGTGCCGTGGCGTGATCTTGGCTCGCTGCAACCTCCGCCTCCCTGGTTCAAACCATTCTTCTGCCTCAGCCTCCGGAGTAGCTGGGATTACAGGCACATGCCACCATCCACAGCTAATTTTGTAATTTTAGTAGAGATGGGGTTTCACCATGTTAGTCAGGCTGGTCTTGAACCCCTGACCTCAGGTAATCTGCCTGCCTCAGCCTCCCAAAGGGCTGGGATTACAGGCGTGAGCCACCGTGCCGTGTACCACCGCAGTTTCTTTCTTTCTTTCTTTTTTTTTTCACTTTTTCCTTTTTTTTTTTTGTTTTTATTTTGAGACTGACTTTCGCTCTGTCACCCAGGCTGGAGTGTAGTGTTCCGATTTCAGCTCACTGCAACCTCCGCCTTCAGGTTCAAGTGATTCTCCTGCTTTAGCCTTCCGAGTAGCTGGGCTTATAGGCACCTACCACCACGCCTGGCTAATTTTTTTTTTTTTTTTAGAAACTCGATGTTTATTTTCCATGAATCTTATATGTTGTTTAAGAGCCCACGCAAGAACAGCTTAAGACCATTCAGTGGTTGCTAGTGAGCAGTGGGAGCTGTAGACCAGTCTTCCGTGGCAGGCTGGGCGCTCCAGTCTTTAGTAGGGAACTGCTGAACAGGCACAGAGGACACCCGCACGCCTTCAGACCAGTCGGCAACCTCAGGCTGGGTAACAGTGAACTCCAGCTGGAGCAGTTCATTCGCCCTGAAACTCCTCCTTGATCACAGCCTTTTCAGCAGCAGCCTGCTCTTCTTTTTCAATCTCTTCAGGATCCCTGTAGAAGTAGAGATCAGGCATGACCTCCCACGGGTGTTCACGGAAAATGGTGCCACGCATGCGCAAAACTTCCCGAGCCAGCATCCACCACATCAAACCCACTGAGTGAGTGAGCTTGTTCTTGCATGGGATGGCAATGTCCACATAGCGCAGAGGAGAATCTGTTACACGGAGCAATGGTAGGTAGGTTAACATAAGACGCCTCCGTGAGAGGCTGGTGGTCAGCCCTGGGGTCAGTAACCACAAGCAGCCGTGGTTCCCGGAAGGCTGCCTGGATCTGGTTGAAGAAGTTTCCAGGAGTAAAGTGGCCAGCAATTGGAGTGGCTCCACTGGCAGCAGCAAACTTCAGCACGGCCCTCTGGCCAGTGTTCCTGTAACACTGACATCAGCAGGGTTTCCAATGGCAACAATGGCACGAGCTGCCAGGAGAAGCTTCTCCCAGGTCCTCTTCGGATTTATGATGTAGATGCCATCACTTTTCCTTTTATAGATATATTGTTCCATCTGGAAGTCAAGGTTAGTGCCACCTAAATGGGTTTCTGCTGTCAGGAACTTAAGGACACCCCCCTCCTTCATTTGCAAGACATCAAGGGCTCCAGACATGGTGAAAGTTTCCCTTTAAGTTACGATGGTAATCCAGAACAATGCCATTTGGAGCCCTCGGCAGGTAGCGAGAAAGAAAAAGCCCAGCTAATTTTTTTTTTGAGATGGAGTCTCACACTATTGCCCAGGTTGGAGTGTAGCGGCACGATCTCAGCTCTCTACAGCCTCTGCCTCCTGGGTTTAAGCGATTCTCCTGCCTCAGCCTCCCAAGTAGCTGGGATTGCAGGAGCCCACCACAACCAGATAAATTTTTTTTTGTATTTTTAGTAGAGATGGGGTTTCACTACATTGGCCAGGCTGGTCTCAAACTCCTGACCTCATGATCCACCCACCTGGGCTTCCCAAAGTGCTGGGATCACAGGCATGAGCCACTGTGACTGGCATCATTTTTGTATTTTTAGCAGAGACAAGGTTTCTCTATGTTGGCCAGGCTGGTCTCAAACTCCTGACCTCAAGTAATTCACCCACCTTGGCCTCCCAAAGTGCTGGGATTACAGGCGTGAGCCACCGCGCCCGGCTCCACCATGGTTTCTTAATAAGATATGATCCTATTACATGTGTTATACTAGATTGTTAATAATGACCCTGGTGTATCTTGCCTCCAGCATCTGCACACTGATGTAGGTTGTCTCATGCTGAATTTGGGCCCGGTCATGTGATCCACTCAGGTCAAAGGGACATTAGTAAGCCTGGTGCAAGCAGAGGTTCAGTAAGCGTTTGCACTTTGAGGCTTGTTTTCTTGAAATACAGTACTCATTCTTGGGATCAAACCCCCATGCTGGAAGGAGACTCAGGTAGGATTGTGGGATGAGGCCATGTGGAGGCAGGCGATGGAGGATGAGAGGCCAACTTGGAAGTTCAAGCCCCAGCCAAACTGCCAGTTGAATGCACCCACGTGAGTGACCCCTGCTGATGCCACGTGGAGCTGATGAATGGGCAAGTTTCCGAGTACTCTGCAATTCAGCAATAGATAATTGAAACATATTGTTCTGCAACTCTAAAAATTCTTAACAATACATATATATATATATCATGAATATCCTCCTCTGGCATTTCATATAGACAGGCTTGTTGTTTTGAATGACTGCAGTTTTCCATGGGAACTACAAGCATGTTACTTATCCATTTCCTACTGGTGGACATTCGGTGGCTTCCAGTTCTTTGCCATGACAAACAATGCTACAGTAAATAACTCCCTGTGTGAATAGCATTGCCGATTTCACGGATGTGAGCATTTCTTTAGGATAAGTTCCCAGAAGTGGAATTACTGGGTGAAAGCGTTTGTACTTTGCATGTTTTCACAGATATTGAAAAACCATCCTCTAAAATGGTCAGACCGATTTATACTTCTGTGGGCAGTGGGCAAGTGGGCCTGGCCTCATCCGTACCTGGTGTGACCCACCTTAAAAAGCCATTTAAGTAGTGACATTGGTCGGGGGGAGTGTGTGAAAGCATTACAGAGTGGCCAGGGCTGGGGGGTGGGGCTAGACTTGGAAGATGGGCTGCAGCCGCCAGAGTCCTGGGTTCCTTCCTCTTCTGCCTGGGCAGCTGTGCTCAGCACATCCTTTCCAAGGTGCTTGCCAGCTGACCCGCTCCCTAGACAGGCCCAGTTCCTTCAGCCTTGACCCCCACTCACAGTGACCCTTGGCTCAGATGGGCTCCAGCCCCAGCCCCTACCTTCTGTAAAGAGGGGGACCCTTCAGGCTCACCTGGTGACCCTGGACAAACCTCTGATCTCTGAGCCCATTTTTGCTTTTGCTTTTGAGAAAAATGTGGATGAGAAAAAACCAACTGTTGGGCTGTGTTGTTTATTGTTTATTCCTTCAGTAAACAAGTATTTATTTAATTATTTACCCTCCCTTCCTTCCTTCCTTCCTTCTTTCCTTCCTTCCTTCCTTCCTTCCT